AACAATCCGAAAGGATCCCTATGATTCCAAGGGTTACACACACACAACAGACAGCAGCACCTAGAAAGGTTGCCTCTTTGTGCATGCAGAAACTTAATTACTGTATTCATGACCTGCTTTCACACGGAACGCCTACTCCATCTTACTTGTTGGTGGCGGGAGAACGCCATGAAGCTTACTGCGGTCATGACGTGTGTAAAGATTCACGACAGGAGAAAAACAATAGGTTCGTTTGGTGTGTGCCGCTGGTTCTGCCAGACAGCATTGTCTTTCTGTCAGCTGCCGGCTCCGCATGCTGCTGGTGGAGGTGTTTGTGTGCCAAAAGCCCTCGACGGGTTTTAGGCTGTTGCACTCTCCTTTAAACCTGGGTTAGGAATAGTTTTGATTGATCTCAACAATATTTTTTGCGGTTGATCCCCTGGGAATTTATTGACCCACATTTTCCATCGTTTTACCCAAAGTAGAGGTTGTTTGCTAAAACATGTTTTGCACTGTGAGTATCTACCATGCCAACAATGCCGTCGTTTTGAACACCTTGCCATTCTGTTTTTCTATCTATTTGGGGGTCTATACAAATGGATTAAATGTCTGAAGATGAGCACGCATGGAGCCTGGGACTCGATCAAGCTTCATTCTAAGTTTTTGGTCCCAGGTGGATCCAGGTAGTGCAGAATTTCTATTTGTGTGCTTGGGAAGACCTCGGACAATAGGGTGTGAGCAACTGGTGTCTTGAGTGACATCCTCCATGATCCAACTTTGTGCTTCTTCCGAGGCTGGTGGAAGAGGCTTCGAGCTGCTGTGATGAAGGCAAGGGCGGTGCTTTTCAGGTTTGGAATTTCGCTTCAACGTGGCTCAGTACTCTGGGCCTGTGAAGAGTTTTTCACTCTTTGGGTCGCAGAGTTGGAACAAGATCATCTCCCCATCGTGGGAACACTCTGTGCGTTGGTGGCTGCGCATCAAAACTTGCCCAGCAAGGGAGATGTGGAAGTGTGGGCCATTGAAACCGAAAAGGTCATCAGCGCTTCAGCGCAGAAGTGGCGTCTATCAGCGCATGAATTCACCGACACAGTTCACAGATTGGGTTACTGTGGCTGAATGGCTCAATGCGCAGAATCGTTTAGGATTGCTGCGTTTTGTGGCTGAATGGAAGGGTTCGTTCAACAAATTGCAGGTCTTTCATGGGGGAAGGGAGTCACGAGTTGAGGCTCCCTGCCGGTTGAGAATACCATCAAGTTAGTCAAGAAGGTCGACCAGGCTCTGGCCACACGAGATTCCGACAAGGCACCTGGTTGTCGCTTTCCAGAACCGTTGCGGTGTGAGACAGGTTTTCATGGCATGAGAGTTTTGCCAGGTAACGCCAGGCCATGAAGCCTTCAAAGAAGCCCGGCTGAGACTTGTGGGATTGTACTGGGCCGGGGACTTGCAAAGGGATTCCAGAGGCATGTTGATTGCCACAAAACCATGTAAAGCGATAGGCCCCGAAAAAACCCCGATAACTTCCACTTTTGCACCAGTCCGAAACAGTTGACTTTGATGGATGTCTAATATGTTTTGCCAATCGAATCATCCAGGATGAGGAGATGAACAGGTTTAGATGCCGCGTCTTTTTATTTTTTGAGATGCCCAGGGTTCCCGCAGGAAGGACAGGGAATGTTGGCGGCACCGCGGCTTCGCGCCGCCGAAGCGCGCCACGAAGGAGTGCATTGCAGTATGTGATATGATGCGATATGTATTGAATAACATTGATAAATTGTGGTATGTGAGATGTGAAATCTGTGCTGATGAACTGGCCTGCTATGTGCATTTGCTGGCATCGTTTGTTTTGCTTTGTTTGCTTGACTCTACCGCAAGCAGTAGCACAAAATTCCACTGCTTCTTGAATGCATTTGCAATATGAACATGCCATGCCAGCCTGACATTGTATAGTACATATATACATGTTGCCATACCACGTGTCAGTGTTAAAGACATCGACCACATAGATGCAGCAGTCTACACCAGCTATGGCCGGATGCACCCCCAAGTCGATGTACAAACTCCTCCGGATGGCAGCGATTTTTTTGCAATGATGTTTCGACCGGAAGGGTCCATCTTGATGGCCGAGTTCTTCGAGAATCGAGAACGATACTCGTAGGGCCGCATTGCAAGAGACCCCCAAGGTTCCTTTTCTCCTATGTCCTACGACTGCAGTGCTGAAGGAAGGGATCGAAGCGGACTAGATGAGGTTCCCTAAAAGGTTTACTGTAGTGTTTTGATGTAAGGAGGCCAAGGAGACCTGTGTCTTGAGCTACGTTCTGAGTGCCCTCATCCACGCGACCAGCTGTTATATAAGTCTGTGCCAGTGGTTGATGTGCAGCATCAGGCCTGTGATAGCTGTTTGATCTGCTTCGTCGAGAACATTGAACGGACAAGGTGAATGTCAGAACATTTGAGATGTGATGTAACTCCTGCCCTTCTTGATTGCTTTTGCACTAGTGACCCACCGAGGGCTGCACTGCAATCAAGTGAAATTTGCAAGAATGCAAAGTGTAGGACCAGGTGGCGTTCACATATGAGGAAGGTTTTCTCCTGGAACTGACATTGTTAGCTTTAACTATGCCACTCTGCATTAGGCACGTATATAAAGAATGATAGAAAAGGATAGAACGAGCTAAACTCGTTCTGGACCAAATCGTTCTCCGTTGGAACGAAGCCATGAGTCCCATGCATTCCTTCGATGCCCATGTGCTCAAGGATAGTGAAGGAGATGAACAAGTTGGCAGGCTACCCACAGCGTCTTCTGAGGAGCAGCGGCTTCTCCTGTCCGTCTTTCTTGTTTGCAGTGTCAGTGTTGTTCAAAACACAACTGCAACAAGTCATGACCACCAGTTTTAGCATGTTTTAGCTGCGTTGGCTGAATTGCTTTGCTGCCTCCGGAGGATGGCGGAGACGAAGGAGTTGACGTGGTGCCCACAGGTTCTCTCCCTCTCCAGGACAGGTGATGCGATATGTTCGGAGTTGCATGTTGGTTCCCTTACTCCTGTCTTGGGTGGAAAACATCCGCAATCAATCATCCGAGATGTCTGAAATTACATATATAATCATATATATATATACATATACATACATGTTTGTATGTACAGCCCATATATACTCCGCTATAGTACTGCAGACACGTGACTCATGACGTGTTTTGGCTCAAGGGAGAAAAGGCGTTCCGAAACGTCGAAACTCTGTTTTCATGGTAGCGCGTAAGCCCGGTGAAAGCGAAAGGGACCGAGTTTTGCGCCTAAAAGAGGAAAGACACAGTAAAGTAGAAAGCTCCGAAGAAGAGGAGCTGGGGTCCTCGGGAGCGGCAGATCCTGCCGCCCCGAGCGGAATAGGAGAAGAGAGAAAAGAAAGAGAGGAGGAGAAGAAAGAGCCTTTGCCAGCCACATCAGCGGCGGATTTAGCCGCAAACACTGCTCCAGCGGTCGAAAAGACCGGAGAAGGAAAATACAGAAGGAACAGAAGGGTCAGAAGAAGAAGAAGAGTCTGAACAGGACCTAACAGGTGAGCCAGGAACTGGAGCGGCTAGTTCAGCCGCACGGTCATCGTCTGGCCGAACCATCGCCGATTTCGTCACCTCCGCAGAAGGGGTCACAACAGGTTGGGAAGTTCGGGGTACTCAAACCAAGTATACCCCAGCCAAGATCGATCCCAAGGCACCTTGGAGGAAGAAGCGTCCAGAACCACAGTCCGGATTCCGACATCGAAGCCAAACTTCGCTTCAGTATCGGATGTCAAGGACCTGGTGAGGTTGCAAAAGAAGCAGGGTGTCATCACAGAAGATCTGCAGGAGAGGATCGAGGAATTTGGCAAAGAGCGCCCCGAGGAGGAGATCAGGTTATTAGAGCGGAAAGAACAAAGACTCCGCAATAGAGAGAAGCGCGAGGAGAGCGCAAAGCGAAAAGCTCAGAAGAAGAGCGAAGCGGCTGATACAGCCGAAGAGAAAGAAGAGGAGGAAGAGAGCCCATCGGAAGAAGAGACTTCCGTGAGA